TACAAGCTATATTGGCGAATTTATCGATAACAGCTTGGAACGACCCGCAATAATTCGTCGAATCAAAGAATACATTAGGTTGCTGGATATGAAACGCTATTTTGTTTCTGAGATTTGAATTTAAAGGGGTACACTTCGATAGTTACGCGATAAGGTAGACTGTCAATGTTACCCACAAAATTAGCCAAAAATATGGGTTTCCAGGATTACACTTTTCGTCCTTATATGAGAATATTTTCCGGTAGTCTGCAGGTACTTCTTTAAAAAGAGGAAAATCAAATCTGACGCTTCACGAGAAAGAAAAAAATTTCAAAATGCATCTAATATAATAAAATCGAACGAACAACGTCACTTAATTTTGGATGAACATTAACGTATCAGTTCTCGTTGAAACGATATTACACAAAGGAAGGGGCAATTAACGAAAACTATCGACGTAGCGAAAGCAGCGTATCGAAATTGCAACATTAATTGGTCTACTAACTAATATAATGTCATAACCGCGTCGCGCTGTATACCCAGATTAAATTCCTGATCCCCGTTTAAATTACCATAAATTCCATACGTGGTATGTTATCATAATACTCGAACGAACAATTAATTCCGGAAGCAGACGGTTACTGCGTTTCCTGAAAGCTCTTCCTTCGAGGATTCATGTTTGCGATATTAATGATATCTTCGTTCTCCGTCTCACTGGAATATCTAAACGAGCATATGTTTACAAGAAAATTGATAAGTAATTACATAATGCAGTTGAAATATTGGAACGTTTCTTATTGACTCACTTCCTACGTTATATAAGGTGGTTCATCAAGTATTCCCACCTCGATTTGCGTCGTTATTATTGTACGTAGCAAAGAATCTTTGTATATAATGTTAAATGGTTTCAAGAGAGGCACATTTTAGTATAGTGAGTTATTCTGTAGGTGAACGCGTAATAGAAAAATAAAAGTCATCAATATTTTAAAAATAAAATTAGGAAATAGTTTTATCTGCACCGATCGATGAAGCTTTATAGTCTTTGCAAAAAATTATTAATGTATTAATATCGAAAAGACATTATTGGTTAATGATGTGTCTTGGAAATCGTATTATTGGACCATACTTTATCAAAGAATCACTGACTGGACAAAAATATACAGATTTTTTGACAAATACCTTATGGTCATTTTTACATGATGTGCCATTCCATGCCATTCGACTTTCTCTTATGGGTTTACTTGAAAAAATAAGATAACTGTATCAAGACTTTTACACATTAACCGAAGTTTTATGAAAAATCGTTATAAATAGATCAGTAATTAATTTTGTATTGTAGTCTTAATTCGAACCGAAGTTCGATAATGGATAAACGTTTGCGTGGTGCAAAGAAAGGGAGGTATAGCGAGCTCGGTGACCGCGTGGCTGCTTGCCAACCCGCATACATCATACCGTGACATAATCATCCTATATTCGCACCCCACTCATTTGACTTCGCATGCTCTCGAGCGCTGCTCTGCTGCATTACGCTCTGCGGTGCGGATAGTCTCGTCCGTAGTGTGTGTATTGCGTGGCGCTATCATTGCCACGACGCAGCGCTTGTGCTAAACGACATCCTACTTCCGGCTCCTCAGCTAAGCTAACCTTACGTACGTATTGTTCCAAGTGCGGCTCCGTGAAATATCGTGCGTTAGAGAGGAGATGATCATCCAGAAGCGTGCAGTTAGAGTAGAGATATTTAATTCAAGCTTGATTAAATTAAAAGAAGAAGAATTTTTTTTCATTAATGAGAATTAATTTTCAATACATACGTGCATACATAAACATGTAATCCTTTTGTAACGTGTAATATATTACACATAAATATATGATTTTACACATTTTATATTTTGTTCTGTAAAATTAAATTTTGGTTAATGACCAGAATAAGAATTATCGCGAGAGTTAGGTATGAAGGTGGGTGTTAAAGAATCAAGAAATTGACAAGATAAGTCGCTAGGACGACTATATGTAGAAAGAGTGGCACTGAGGTAAAACGCTTTAGCCCTAGGCCCACCCCCTCTTCGCCTAGACTTCACATTATTTTATGCGTCGTGCCCAGGTCCGTTTTTCCCCTCAGACGTCTGCATCGGTGGATCGCAGTTGTCCCCATTAAACTTCCTCTTTCTTAATTTTCTTAAAATTCCTTTAGGCACTATAAATATTAATTTGTGACATAAAATACATATGAAAATTTCATCATTAGTTGAGGATTTTCATGCATGTATAGCATATTTTATAGCATGTAAAACTTAAATCTGGGTATTATAATATATTAATTGAATTTAATTGCATTTATATGCAGTTAAGTAAACTTAGGCTAATCTGATTTTCTCGAAAACTAAGTCATAAGTCAAGATGTTGAGTATATTTTTACAAAGAATCAGAGCGTCTTTTATACATGTTATTTGGCCGGAGCCTGTATAGATTATAGACCAGTTGAATAAATCCACCAGCGTGGATATAAAAGATGTAGCTGCACTAAAACAGAACTATAACTCCGCGTACGTGCATACATTGTTCCTGTTCCGTGTTCCATTCTGCTCGACCTGCGCCGCGTAATGCATGTAATTGAATGTTAAAATTGCAGGAGGATTTGCCGGAGCTTTTCGTTATTAAATGGGGACGAATGGAGGCGAACTTTACGTTTGAAGCGGTCAGCCGTTAATAAAATTTCCCGCGAAATAACAGGCGAGGCTGCTGTGGCAGGCGAATTTCTGCTGTACACTGTATCTAAAAAGTATGCCGAAATCTGTCGTGGTATATCATTATAATTGTTATTGTAAATAAGGATGAGAAATCGAGTGGTACACATATATTTTGCACTGTGCAAAACCTAAAAACATTAAAACAAATTTCGATTTGATTCTCTGAGAAATAAACACGTAAAATCGAATAATGTAAATCTATATTTTTGACCAATTTAGTGGATAACATTCTGCCTTATGGCACCGCTATCAATGTCTACCCCCTTGAAGCTCGCGTCCACGTCTGACTGGCCTGTCTGACCATGACTTACTGTATCTACTGCGTCACCTACTGATGCTTCTATCCTGATTCCTGATGATGCTGCAACCGTGTAATATTTATTATTGTTAATTAATTATTTATTTCTTGTTTTACAAGAAACTAAATCATATATTTAAAATAGACAATCAAGGAGTTTATTAATTCAGATTCACGTAATGATAATTAATCGCAGAAATCCATTTACCATAAGACAGTGCTCATTGAATAAATGTATTCTTGTAGTTCTTTCAAACGAAAATACATTTTTTAAATCTTTATACAAAAGTGATGAACCTAATACTGATATGGAATGAAATATATCTATTTCATACTAAAACCAATAAACAAATATAATAATACTTGATATTACTCTTGTAAAAATTATGCTGACTGAATAAATGTGATAAATGATTTTATCACTTTTATCACTTTTATCAGATAATTTTATTAGAACCAAAGAAATGTCCGTAAACTTTTGAGGGTCAGTGTATGTATTGTGGCCAGACGCTATCGTCCTGTGATGTAACGTTCATGGTAAAAGAGCCGCCTTTACGTTCTACTTCCGCGCATGGTATTCTGATATCAAGTTACGCCCACGCCGCCGCCGTGCCGCGCAAAACTTGGACATCGTGCGCCAGTTAAAGGTGCAAATTTTCACCGGGGAATCCTAGCGATTCCGTTGCATAAATGCCTTTATGCTAATTTCAATTCACCCTCTCTTTTTCCACCCGAGAGGACCACGATTATGACGTTGGCAATATAATAGGAAACAATTTGAAACTATTGTACCGTAAAGCCTCGAATCGACCAAACTACCTAGGCTACATACTGATGAAATCTAAGTGAACGTTCCTTATGCTGAATACTTCTGAGAGTATCATTACCAGACGTCTGATCATGACAGGCGAGATTCAAATCGATTTACTGAGTTTTCTATATTGTTTTCTATTTTTCATTATTATATTAGTATAAGTTGAAAAATGAAAAGAAGAGAATAATTGTTTTATGAGGGTGAGTCAGTATGAAATGATTTATCGATAACCAGGCAAAAATAATTCAAAATATGGGTTTGCTCTTCGTCTTACTACTACTTCTAATACTTTTTGAGTCACTGTACTATTAAAATAATCTTCTTTGTAATAGGCTACGAATGTGAAGTACAAATAAACTAATTATTATAAAAAATTAAAATTAATTCTCATCAAATATAATTTTTTTTTAAACAATTTTTTTCATTTCTGTATATTTTGATCTCGCCGAACGTTTAGAATCGGTTCACGTATAATTCATTGAAATGCGTAGTTGGAATTCTTGGACGCTTTGAGAACTTTTCAGCCGTAGAGTCGCGCCTGTTTTATTCATCGTCTTCGTCCGCAGTTTAAGCCAGTCGTAATTTCGCACGTGCAGCCCCGTTTCACCAACTCGCCGTTTAATCGTGATGAGCCGCGTTGTTTAAGTACAGACCCGTGTGTCCTCTTGTTTGCTAAATTCCCCGTAATGGCAGAGAAAAACTTTATCTCCTAACGTTAAGACTCCACGAAAAGCTTAGCGAGAAAATCTCGCGAAAATTCCTGCAAGCATGACCCAGGATGTGCTTAACATACATCATATCACGTGTAAATCATATTTTTTAATAAATTTTTCGTTTTCAAATAAACATACATTTCGTATGATGTGTAATTAATTTCTAAAATCAATTACTGAACTCGTTGTGGGATCCTTGAAATAGTGGAAGTGCAGCTTGACCGAGAAAAGAGAGTTGATGAATAATTAGTTTTTATTTAGAAGTAAAAGAAAATAATAATAATACAACACTCTTTGTTCTTCGAGCCTCGTCGACAATTGACTAGCTTCGACAATTTCCCATACTGCCCTTGACGAGACGGATTTAAGATTCACGAGGTCCGTGGCTAAAATGAATAAGGGGCCCATTTGAGGGCAGCAAAAAATGACCATTTTGTGAATATAAAAAAAAAAACTAAATTATTATTTTTTCAAGTTATTGTCGTACACATAATTTGTGCAAATGCAAGATCATCTTATTCTTAACGAGTATGTAACTTTTCCATACTACTTTCTCATATAAATTTTTATTCATGCGTGGTTACAAGCGCAAAATGAAATTATGTGTGCGTAACATGATATTTTTTATTCGAGCTTGCAGGGCCCTTTGAATGTTGGGACCCGGGGCTATAGCCCCTGCTAGCCCCTCCTTTAATCCACTCCTGGTCCGGAGTCATTTGCTTGTCCTTTTCTTATCTTTTTGGTATCCGACATCATTGATAAGTCAAGAAAACACAATGTAATCCTTGTAGTTATGCAATATTCCATATTATCATTGGAATATTCTTTATCGTCATGCGCGACATATTTGTCAGTATCGTAACGTTAAGGATAAGGAAAGAATTTACGATGAGACTTTCGCGCTTGATAACCGGTGACGAGATAAAGTGTCTTGAATAAAATCCGGTTTACAGAAAGGTCGCGTAGCGTATACATACATAGTATTTACAAACGTGAAAGCGTGAGCAATAAAATTGGCGGTGCGTGGTGAAACGAAATACGATATCGCCGTATGCTATACTTTCACAAAGCTTAATACGAATTTATTAGTTGTCCAGCGTCCCGCGGACCAAGGTGCACACGGTCTAACTTCGCCGCGCGCGGCGTGTAACGTTTTCACGAACAATGCTTCAAACGATATGCAACGTAGTACCGTTTAATGTGTTTCGTTTATCTGCGTTTGATAGCTCGTTGTTCGGTTCGTATATTACAACGAACGAATTAAACGGGTAGTTATCTTGTTTGCTACGTGCCGACAGTGGCAGGTGTCTCGCTGAAGGAATTCCCTCAACTTTCATTCGAATCATCGACAACTTCGCAACATGTGGGTTTTTAAGTAGATTTAGAATTTGCAGACGAAGTAAAACGTTTGCGATATCACTTAAATATAGATTTAGATATTTCTTACTTTTTAAGAATAATAATAATAATAATCCTCAAATCAACTCAATGCCTCCTCATGCTGCCTAAGACCGTCTAAAGTTTTCTTCATCAAGAGATTCAGTTCCAGATTTGGGCACTTAAAAGTAACTTCTACATTAGCTTCCAAGTCGAATAAACTCAGTTACTTGTTTCTTGTAATTTAATGACTCCAGTCATGTCATTAGACGGAAACTTCATTCTTACTTTTTCGCCACGCATTACCAATAAATATATGTTCTTCCTGTCGACTTTGAAATTATCTGTGAAGTCAAATACTTCAATTATACTGCACTTATAGATCTATATTTCTATATATGTAAAAAACTATTCGACTTGAAATATCTAACTTAAAGATTGTACAATGTTTATTTATTTTATCATCGAGAGTGAAATAGTTGTGAAGTGAGTTTCCTTGGGATTCGACTGGAGATCTCTGCGAATGAAAAAGGGCAGCAGCACGACCCCGGGATGACGTGGTCATAACCGTGGATCATAATAGAAAGTTTACCGAGGTCCAGGGGTGGAAGACGTACCGGATAATGTAGTAAGTTTTAATTGTTATGGGTCATCGTGGGGCAAAGTTATTTCATTCCACGGCTATTAAATCAAGATTATTAGTCTTCATTTCTTACGTGCTCGTAACGTCTTCGGTCCTTCGTTCGTTCCCATTGAAAGGGTACTCAGGATCCGTTAACAAGTTGCCTCTCACACAATTCAACCATCCACCCTGACAGTAACCACACGATCCGCTAACGAATCTCGCAATTACACTGCAGTTCAAAAGTATCTCTACAATTTTCTCTGCTAGTACGAATTATGATTGTTAAACAATGTTTATTGTCGTATATTTCTTATATAATATCAGTAAAAGTGATATAATGTTTCTTACAATAATTGGTATAATAATTGATCAAGTAGATTTGATATAATGTTTCTTATAGTGATTGATACACTAATTCATACACTGATTACTAAATCTTATAAGTGTACTAGTAATTCATACACTTTCATCTAACGATTCATGTAATGTTTAACAGAATAGTTAATGTAATAATAAGGCTGTAGGTTTCATACATTTATAGAAAAGAACAACTATTCATTTCGTTTCAAAGATCATTTTATTTAAAGAGGACTTTTTATACATTTACCGTAAGATACTTCTTATTAAATGAACATATTCCACTATTTGATCAAACCAAAATTGATTTCCCAAAACTTTATACTGAAATCAATAAACAACAAGTAATAGTGCCTCATATTAAGACTGGAAGTATTATACTATGGTCATAATAAAGTTCGTTAACAATTTCTTCTTGTAGATTATTAGATTTTAATGTTTTATTCTAGTTTAATTATTTTATTAGAACTAAGGAAATGTGTTGATACTTTTGAGTGGCAGTGTACCTCTTCCCTTTTTTCCTTCTTACGAGTTTAGAAGCAAGTATTTATAAGTACTTAACGGTCGAGATGCGATTAACGGCGTTACGAAACCATGCGGTTTCAGCAAAGTTATGTTGAACGCTGGGTAACATTTCAGAGACAGACGGGAAAAATTCTTTTACAGATTTCCGTCTATAAACTCGAAAAGTCTGAATGTCCTACAAATAGAGTGTCTGTCTAACCGCGGACCGAATACACATCCCGCTCGTGGGACAAAAACGACCTTTAGCAGACAGTTTATTTCCCTATTTACACTTTTACTAGTAAAAATTTTTGGTCATATGTGTAATAAAGTGATGATAAATGAAAGCACATAATATAATTATTAGTTTTCTTTGAGAATATTCTACAGGATTTTATAGGTACTCTACAGGAATATGTTTGAGTGGGAATGTTAAGAGCTGAGTACATGTTTCAATGTTTAAATGATAAAAAGAACGTTTATCTAAAATAATTTTTATTTTAAAAATAATTACAAATCTTAATGCAATAACTATTCCACCTTAAATGCGACTTCTAGTTATACAATATGAAAGAGCTTCCTGACTGACTCACTCGTCAATGCCCAGCAAAAACTATCGTAAAATGTGATTTATTTGTAGTGCAATAACTCTTAAAGCTGATGAGATATCGAACTGGTTCTGATAGAAGAATGTTATTTTATAAAAATACCAAAAACCAATTTCTGGACTTTCAAAAATTCGACCCCTGAGAAAGTAAAGGTTTAACAATCTTGGCAGGAAGAACTACAAATGGTTAGAAACGGGTACTT